AATTCTCAACAAAAGTAAATGGCACTCCAGCTGAATATAATGCCTGTGCTAGTAAAAATTCAAGAGACTCTTGTTCTTCTTCTTTTATGCTATCAACAAAATTATCCAAATTAATTTGTTTTTTAAGTCTATTTGTTGCATGAAAAGGTGTATTTGTATGAGTTGGAGGTTGTTCTGTGGTGGGGTATAATATTTTGTGTTGGAATAGATTTAGCATTACTTGGTACATGTAAACACTCATTATTAAGATGAGCTCATTCTTAAAGGAACAGCCCTGTTAAAAACTTTAGAACAATAATTGCATTTTACAGAAGGATGTAAACTTCGTTTAATATCATTATTTTCACTGAATTTTGTGTAAGGTTGTCCAATGGTTCCAAATAGCTCCCTTCTTTTTTATCATTTTTTAAAAAATAAAACCAAAATTTTTTGAAAATGTACTTCAAAAAGTATATAAAGTATCAAGTTTTTTTAATAAACCAACTATTTGATAAGTTGAAAGTAGGGGGAACAAGAAGAGCAAGGAGAGCAAGAAATTAATAAGCGTTTTTAGGTTTTACATATTAAAAAGGTAAATTTACATATTCAAATTTAACCTTTCGCAACTATCGTAACGAAAAAAAGTTGTTCAATCATCTAAAAACTTTCTTTGATTTGATTGGTCAATTCAAAGCCTTCGGTTAATATCTAACAGATGTGACCGGCCAATGAAAATTGGTACTTTTATCAGTGATTACGTAATATATGAATATAAATAAAATATGATCATTCAAAGCTTTGCTTAAAGCGAAAAAAAAATGTCAGAAAATCCTATAGTATTTTTTGATATTTCAATTGGAAATCAACCAGCGGGTAGAATTAAAATAGAATTATTCGCAGACGTTGTACCTAAAACTGCCGAGAATTTTAGGTAAGGAAATTCATACGAAGATATTTGTTTAATAAGTTTCAATTAATTAAATAATTAGTTAAAATTGATTATATAGACAATTATGTACAGGAGAATTCAAGTAATTATTCACCTTATATGAATGTTATTATTTCTTTTGTTTTTATTATTATCATTTTGAAACCATTTTTTTGACCAATCTATAGGAAAAATGGAGTACCACAAGGTTATAAAGGGGCGCAATTCCATAGGTAAGGAATTTCTTTTACAAGTTATCATCAAGAAATTATTCTTATTTTTTTTTTATTATTTTATTTTAATTATTTTCTTAATAAAGAGTTATAAAAGACTTTATGGTTCAAGGTGGTGATTTCTTAAAGGTAAGTTGTTCCCGAACCATTATATTATTTAGTGCTATGTAACTTAATTTTGGTATCTTGTATAGAATGATGGGACCGGATCATTTAGTATTTATGGAGAAAAGTTTCCAGACGAAAATTTTGAATTAAAACATACTGGTCCCGGGTTACTTTCAATGGTAAGTCATATGGAATCTATTTATACTTAATGATTAAAGTATTAAATCGATTTTAATTTAATATAATAGGCAAATAGCGGGCCAAATTCTAATGGATGTCAGGTATTTTATATATACCCTTTTAATAAATTATTTAATTTTCGTTCAAATATAATTATGCTAATTCCTTTTTATTTTGGGAAAAAGTTTTTTATTACGTGTGCCAAATGTGATTTCCTTGATGGAAAACATGTTGTTTTTGGAAAGCTTATTGATGGTTTACTTACACTAAGAAAAATTGAAAATGTTTCTACTGGACTAGGAAATCGTCCTAAACTACAAGTTGTAATAACAGAATGTGGACAATATTAAACAAATAAATATACATAAGACAATTAAATTCAATATAACTTGCATTTCGAGAAGGGAAAAAATGGTTAAGGTCTAATTGGTAAATGTTTTCTATATGTACCAAAAATATTTTTAGACTATAGTATATCTTTATTTAACCAATGTTATCTTTTTGAAAAAGCGTGTAACTTTTGATGATGATTTCTGATAAAGGGTTTCTGCAATGATTAACCTGATTCCAAGGCATTTCATAAGGCGTGTGCTCGAACATTAGACAGCATTATTTTTATTACAATGGATGATTGAGATTATAAATCACCTGAAAAGGTATTTTTTTCATTAACAAAACATAATAATAGAAACATGACAATTTATATATAATTTATATTTAAATATGTTAAATAGAACATAGGAAAATCACATATTGATCATAGTTATTTTCATCAAGTAATAATTTTAAAGTTTTAAATCCTTTTGATTTGTGTTCTTTTTCTTAAAAAGATTTTAGTTGTAACAAATTCTAAAATTAATCAATTATTGAATTTAATTAGCTTAGTTGATTATTAAGTTTTAAAAAAATTAATCAAAAAAAGATATTAAAAAATAAATAAAAAAATAAAAAAACGTTATTTGCTCTTTTAGTTATTTTTCTTATTACACTTATATCATTTTTGTTATTATTATTTTTATTTAATTATTAATTTCTATCATATGGGATCTTTGCAATAAAAAAGAGGAAAAATGCCGAAAAAATAAAAAATGGGTTAATACTAAATAGATCATAAAGTCACTACTAGATTATGAATTTACTTTTATAACCTAATCTAAGTCACTAGCGACTAAAGATAAAACTTATTATAATATATTATATATTTATATATTTAATTTAAAAAAAAATTTATAAAAGTAAATCAGATGAAAATTTATAATAAATAAGCAGGCAAATTTGCCTGTGAAATCTTATGATCTAAGAGATAAATAGTAAAAACTAATCAATATAAATTGAAAATCAAAATAATACACAAAATAATATTACTAAAATGAATTCTAATTATATTGAGATTATTAATACTAAGGTTTTTACATGTTAGTTTCAGCTTTGTTTAATTATATGGAAGGTTTGCTAGGAAAATAGGATTCTAAGCATTTTTTCAATAAAAATTAAAATTTTAATAAAAAATACTCAAAACCTCATTTTTCTAGCAAACCTTTCATATGATTAATGCAATGCCTCATTTTTCTCATTTTTTTTTTATAAATATCACATGCATTCTTAATAGCAACTTTATTTTATAGTCTGAACAAAACTTCTAAAACACCTATTTCATATTCTTTTATTATCTTTATATATATTATACCGTCTGCTTTAAATACTTTCTGCTAAAGGTTAAAACTGATTAATTATTCAGTTAAAATATCTATTTAAAGATTTTTTAATTGGTTAAAATATCTAATATTAATTCTAGCTGAAACTTAATTATGAGCAGAATTAAATTTTTTTGCAATTACAAAATTTTACTAATTTTTCTTAAATTTAACTGATTAATTAACTGGTTAAAAAAATTTTTTAAGTAATTATTAACCGGTTAAAGATTTTTGGACTGGTTCTAACCTCTACTTTTTGCAACTTCTTGAAAATATTTTTATCAAGATTTTTATTCAACTATGCTTAATAGGAAAATTTTATCCTAATTATAATATACTTAATTAAATTTACTATAAGAAGTATATTTTAAGAAATTGCTATTTTGATTGATTCTTTAACAATTGGATCAATAAATATTTCATTATATATAGATTTTAAAAGTATATAATCTAGAATAGTTTGACCTCATATTTCAATTTCAACAAACTAAATCAAAAAAAAAGAATATTATTAATAATAATTTAATGCAAAACAAATAAATTGAGAGAAAGCATATAAACAAATATAAATTGTGTTCAATACAGATTCTAAATAATAATACTCTTCATTATATAAAAAAGCTTATTATTGATTGTTAGAGAAAAAGCATAAGATAACTATAAAAATAATAAGTCTTACAAATGCTATAAAAATAAAAGCTTAAAAGTTATCAAAAGTAATATATGCTAATAATTTTTTACTATTTCTAAAATATCAAACTTATATATAAAGATGATAATAATAAAATTAAGGTAATTTAAAAGATAGTTATAATACAAAAAATTATATAGACAAATAAATTACTTTATTATAAAATTAGTTTTGATTTGTTATTTTATTATAAAATGCTAAAAAGTTAATTTATCATAATAATTAACAATATAAATCTACATAACTTTTCTAATTTATAAATCAAATCTTTAACAGTACTCAAATAAAAAATCTCTTAGTTATTAAAAACTATAATTAGAGTTGAAAGATTCATTATCAAATAATAAATTATGTTCAATAAGTTATAAACTTATATTATAAAAATTATTATAATAATCATTTATTCAGCAATAATCACTAAAGATAACAAAACTCTATATTATTTAAAAAAAATAAGTTTACATTATTACTAAAAATAATTCTCTTTCTATTGTATGTATTTCGTTAAGTTACTTTGCTTTAGTAAGTAAGTTCCTTATTGTCAGACTTTACAACCTTAGAGAATTTTACGTCCTACAGGTATCTGGAATGCCTTGAAATTACTTTACTTGACTTTACAAACTTAAAGGTTTAGAAGCTTAGAAAAAATATAGAGAATTTATTTATTCTAAGTGATGAACTCAAAAGTAAGTTAGTGTAATGTTTCACAATCAAATCCTAGATGATAGATACATAGCAGGGAAAAGTAATTGTTTTTCAAAATTGATTCCTTTATTACTTGAAACTCACAAGTATTTTAGAATTTACAAGAGAGTTAATTTACAACTTGAGTAAAAAGCTATTCTATTTATATAAAATTAATTTGCTATGGCTAACTAGTTGTTATGTGATAAACTAATCAAATTTGTAACTATAAGTGCTAATATAATAATAATAATAACTAGCGAACAGTATCACCGTTATGAAGTTGAGCTTAAGATCACATGAATTAACTATGTCAATATCATTGAATATGTCATGCAGATCAAAATCAATTTATTATACATCACGCAAATTAAATTGTGAAATATCATGCAAATCAGAATTATATACTTCGCAATATATTATATAAGAATCTTTTTTTTATTTTAAATTATAAGAGATTAATAAACAATATTATTAGCATATGGTAAAAAAAACAAATAAAACTCTTTATTAATTACCAATTTTTCCAAATCAAGCAAGATTGATTTATTTGACAATATGAAAATAATATAAA